TAGCTGACCCGCGGTGGGGGAGGGGGGGTTAGGGTGCGAGCGGGTGAACTTGGAACTGCTCTTGAGCGCCCCCAGCGGGCCGTCGCCTTTTCTGGCGTTTTCCATCCTGTGCTGGCTCCAGGGTCTTCCCGGGCAGCCAAATCTTGTGCGCTCGCCTGCTCTTCTCCCATGAACATTCAACAGGGCCCTGGCCCTACCCCGTGATTTAAGAGTTAGGTGCCGTTCTCTCTCTTGCTCACACTTCAGGCGCACCGGTCTTGTTCCAGTTCCTCAAAGTATAAGCAGGTCTTCCTGTCTCTGGGCCTTTGCACGTGCAGTCTCTTCTGCTAGTAACACCGTCTCTCCGCGTTTTGGAAGGTCAGCTCTGTCTCATTGTGTGGGACTCAGCTCTTAGCTTAAATATCTCCTCTCAGAAAGGCTTTTATCTAGCCCTCCTAGGCCCCTGCCTCACAAATACATTCATTCATGTCTTTCTGATTTCCTTTATACCTCTTGCCACATGTTGTATTTATTCTGTTATTCTCTGACCTTGACAGTTTAAAGTAAAATAGGGCAGGGGGCATATTGCCTGTCAAGCCTGTGACTCTCATATAGTAGGTTCTCAAATTTTTGTGATAGTGCTTTTATTAATTGACTCCTTGCTCCATAGAACATTTGAGCCAGAAAATGCTTCTGGGGATAGGGCAGCCTACCCAGCTCTGCAGGAAGCTGCAGTATGTCATGGCATAGGGTTGGCACCTAAGCAGAGTCTTCACTCACTGAATCCTCCCTTAAAGACGTAAGTCAGCTACCTCTGCAGGGCAGTATTCCTGGGCCCTCACTCAGGATCTGGCACTCAGGGGCTCAATAAATATGGGATGCTGAGTGGAGGCCGGCCTGCCAACTGCAGCCTTGGCTCTTTTTCATCTCCCTTTGAGGCAAATTCAGCACATCCCTGCGTTCCTCCAACACCGATCTCTCACAACAGAGCTGAAGGTGTCATGGGGACATGGGCAAGTGAATTTATCCGAGGTGGCAAACTTAGTGAAATCCCTACTAGACCTCCCTGTTGTTCCCCAAAGTCCCTGGCTGGCTACCAGCTACCCCATTTTCCTTCCCTTCCTCGTACCTGTTTACAACCTCTCAAATCTCTTAATGACCTTGAGTGATTCAGATAAGACCTCTCCATTCAGCACAGTCCAGCCCATAGAAGGCAATTTAGAGAGCACCTCTTGCTATAGGAGCACACCTTCTGGGGTGTCATCCCCCCCCCATACCTGAGCAGCTTATTTAGTATTTCCTTGGATGGGGTTGGGAGGAGGGAGGGTGTATTCTGTACTTAAGAAAAATTAGCTTGTCTCCATTTTATTACAATTAAAAAAATAAGGATAGTTTCGTGTTAGGAGAATGTGCTTTGGAGTGAGGCAGACCTGAGTTCATTTATTTGGCCTTGGGAAAATTACCTATTATCCTTAAGGCTCTTTTTTTCCCTCTGTAAAATGGGGATTCAAATGCCTACTTTTATGGGTTGTGATGAAAATGGATAAATAAGATCATGCCTGTAAAGAACATAATAAATGTTATGATTAGTAGAAGTCACTCAAGTCCCCAGGAGAGAACCCCAGGAGTCACCCAAGGCCACAGTGTGTTATGAAAGGCCTCTGTGCAGCCTCCTCATGTCTCTGGCTTTCCAAGAATGTCTGCAGATTTATAACCCTTCCCTCATGATTCCACTTCAATCTTTCTTTCTAGCTCTTTGCTCCAATTTTCCTTCTGTGATGTCCTTGCCATTCTGTTGTTCTCACTCACTCAGTTCACAACTGTGGTCACTCAAAAGGCAGGGATACTGTTGAACATCCTGTGGTTCACAGCCCTTTACTGATCAAGAATGGATCTGGGTAAATGAAAACCCCAGATGCTAATCTCCAAGGGTGCCTGCCAGTGGCTCTTAACCTTTTCTGAGTCAGGGATTCCCTTGAGGATCTGAGGAAAGGTAGAGAAATATATATTCCCACATGCACATGAAACTTGCATGAATGTTGGAGACTCTGGGGCTCAGTGAAGCCTGTCCAGTGACCACTAAGTGTTCTTGAGATCCAGGCAGCTCAGATGACAGTTCTTCAGTCCTTTCCTGGTCGGTGTCTCAGAGCTGCAGCAGCAGAAACATAAGTAAACCTAAACTGTTATCCATTTTTCTGCTTCCCCTTTGCTAGGAGGTGCCAAAACCAGGAAATAAAAGCTGCACTGAGGAGGAGGGAGAGACAAAAACTAAACCACCCAGTGTTTATTGACAGCCTATGGGGAAATGAGAAATGGCTGAGCTAATGGGGCATATTTTGTGGGCTCCACAAGGATTCATGATGTCGGTGAAAAAAATGTATGGCAATCAAGAAGAACTTGAGAGATGAGAGGGGAAATGGTCAGAACTGGGGGGAGAATGGTGTTGAAAATGTTACTAGGGTTCAGATGAAAAGAGTTTTGAGATGCTGGTTGTACCAGAATGTGAATACTTAACAGTACTGGACACTTAAAAAAGTAAATTCTATGTTATGTGTGCTTTACCTCAATTTTAAAAAAATTACTGGGCAACATGCCCTCTATGAGAACTTTCAGGAGTTTACCCTACCAGGCCCTGAGCAGACCAGACCCCTTCCTACCAGTATGTGCAGAGGCCAATGGCACACTGGTTTTAGGACCGGTCTTATCAGTGGTAAGCTGGTTTTTTGGGGGAGGGGGGTGTCACTGATGTTGTGGTGGAATTAGCATAAAGCTGTGGAAAACTGGTGGGCTTAATGGAGGAGCTGGAGTGGAGTAGGCAGGGCCCATGGAGGAGAGAGCATAAAGCTGGTAGGATGGTCTGCCTCCCTCTGCCCTTTCTGAGTCTCAGTGAGGCAGCGAATGTGAATCTGCAACGCTGACACATCCATGGGCTTTCTCCCGGTACCTGACTTTTGAGCCAGCAGGTGGTGCTGTTTAGCAAACTTGGGAGCAAGAAGAAACCTGAACTTCACTTGAGCAGTGGGGCCCCTCCATCCTGGTAACTCCCTCCCTTTGCATGGGCCAGAGCAGAGGAGGAGGGAGGGCTGGGATCTGTTCTTGTGTGTGTTTCCCACGTGTGCTGGTATCCCAAATGTCTTTGGAATGTGGCTCAGGTGAAGTCCTGGGTGGTGGCCACCAATAGCTTGTCTGGGAGGGGTAAAGAAATTCAGAGGCATTGTCACACACACCAACACCAGCCAGGCTGACTCACCCTCCACCCAGCTGTGGTGCGGGTGGCTGTGGGGGGCTGCAATGGCTTTGCCTGCTCCCGCCAACCCTAGGATTCTCCTTTCCTTAGAAAGCTCAAACTGCTCTTAGGAGGGTGGGACCCCACAGCAAAACACACCAAACACGTGGAAAACATCTCCTTAAATATTTCTAAATTGCAGGCTTTTATGGGGTGAGCTCAGGTTCCAGAAAGCATACCAGAGGACCAGTTGGCGAGCTGTGGTGCTTTCCACGTGGGTTAGGGCACTGAATTAGGTTGCAGGTCTCCTTCTAGCCTGTGAATCTGGATTTGATTGGTCCACTGGGCTTTGTCCCCAACAACGATAGGATTCTGGGGAATGAAAACATAACACTGGTTTGACAGCTTCAGCAAGTTTTAGGAAGCCCAGAACGCCAGAGCCCAGTGTGCCTTTGGAACTTTACAGCATGCGGTCTCAATCAGCACACTTTCCTGTCCCTGCCCTTGTTTTGCCTCTGCCTCACCTTTCCCGTGGTGCTCTAATTTATGTTGTCTAACTTCATTTATGTGGTTCTGTAAACAACATTACATTCTTTTTGAAACAGGGCAGGGTACAAATAAATAGAATGAAAAACATGACACTAAAAGGTTAGATATTTTGATGGTGGCTGAACCTTGTACTAGTGTCTGAATGACCACATCCCTTAGTGACCATAACATTCAGACGCTTCGGGGACTGGTGGTAGAAAGAGGATCCCCTATGGGGTAAGCGACAGCACCACAGAGCCTTCACTTTTGACCCCCGGCATTCCTGATGCCTCCTCGAG